ATACTGTACTGTACTTGTATGTATTGTTTGCTTGAGAATACAACAGAGAATAAACTGCCCAAATACCCTTAAACAAAGGAAAAGTACGTACTTTATGAAGGCATAGAGCCTTTACTACATGAAAATGAAAATTAATGAATACACTGTGTACAGTAATTTACCTGATAAGACAGACCTCAGAAAAATACATTATGAGAGCTTTTATACTTTTATAAAGCTGTCTATAATGAAAATTAATTAACTAATGATTTTTTTGCCCTGCCAGGGTGTGGCCGAGTTATCCGGAGTGCCGGGTTATCGAAAGCCGAGTTTTCGAGGTTCTACTGTATTAGTATATCCCATGTAATTATTATATTAGTATATTGCTATTAACCTACTTCGCATTGAATTTTCATCGACGTTAAACCTAACAAAAATTTTTTAAAAATAATAATCGTCGCTATTGTATCGTTAAAACTTAGAAAATTAAACCTCATTTAAATACTGGCTCCCTTTCATGGTTGAGCCAGTGTTGCCAGCTAAAACACGTAAAAATAATATTAAAGTAGCCAAGACATAGCCAAATATTGTAGCGCCACATCACTAGAATACATTTGAATTTGCTGACTAGAATGCGGTCGGTTAACCGATGTGATGGTTGATCACGGGTCGGATAATCAATGCTCTACTGTATGCATACAATAAAATTTGAAGTCATTGTCTCCATACTTATAGTTTTAGCTATTAACAGAGTTTGTTTTCATCAGATCACATGATTTTTGTAATCACACTTAAGACAATGAATTTTTCATAGAACTAGCCATTGGTCCTCTAGACAAAATTCATGGGTAATTCTTATTGAATTTTATTGAAATACTTAAGCTTCTTTTGTATGTTATTTTCAGGTCTTGGTTTGAATGTAGTTTGATTAAGTTTTCAATGTTTTCATTAAGTACACACTAAGTGATGATTTCCCAAAATAGCTTAACCTTTCAACAGTGGACTAGCCAGGTATGGTTCTACCCCAGTAGTGGAGAATAAACGTGGGAAATTTTTAAAGTATTTTTTCCACGCGTTTTTTCTCATTACTGTTTCGGAAAAAGATTTTGTAAACAGTTATGTCCAGTAAAGAAAAGTCTTTTTTTATTGTTACATAGTTCAGTTTTTTCGTGGTAGTTTTAGGCTAGTTTTTAGTGATACCCCCAAAAGAATTTGACGACTGTAGTCATCCCTCACCACTGCCACATGATTGCCCTTGACAACTAAAGTCGTTGCTCACTGCTGAGTGGTTAAATTACTGAGTAATAATTCATAATATTAACACATATGTAACAGAACAGGTGAAATTATACAAGATAATGTCATAATTTTATTTAAGTGTTACAAAAAAAATTCTATTTAGAAAAGTTTGGATAATTTGAATCCAGATAATTCAAATTCATGTTTTTTGGTCCCTCAAATTTTGAACTAATGAGGTTTTACTTATATATATAAAAATATTTCCAATAATAAAATGAACTAAATATTTTATTTATATGTAAAAAATTGACTTACCTAATTACAAGGCAGTAAAATGCATACAATACTATTGAGAAAGCACAAAAATAATCTAACTTCTAATTAAAAAAAAAAGCCTTAAATAAATATTCTTAATACTTGAGTAAAAATTAGTACAATTGTTTATTAATCAGAAATTTCTTTAAATTTAATTCTAAAATTGAAAATAAAAATGTAATATATAATTATCTATATAATTATTAAATTATGTAAAAATATATAATCATATAATAATATATTATAAAGCATATATTATATATGTTTATATAAAAATAATATATAAACATGTATAATTGTTGTTATTAATTATATATATATAATTATTAATTTAATAACAGATGGCACCTAATGCCTACCTCTAGTACCAAATTACTCAGTATTTAATTATTAATAGTAGCAGTAAAGTAGCCCAATTAATCCAACAATCATTTGGCTTATCAAAATTTAATATGGCAAAACCACAAAAAATAGTATTATAGTACACACAAATGAATAAATATATATGAAATAAAAGAAAAGAAAAAATACAAAAAAATTTCAAGCTTTCTATTTAGTAAATCCTGAATAGTTGTCAAACAACAAATATTACAGAATGTATTTCAGATTTTATAAATTTAATAATTGGATATAAAATAAGATCATAAACACCAAAAATTAATAAATTATATTTTTTTAAATGTTAAAACTAGTAATAAACAATGCAATGTCTTTTAGGCATTACATTATTTAAAGAAATCTTTAAATATAGCTTTGTTTTTCAGCTAAATTTATTTCTTTGTTTCATTGATTTCACATATTTGGTGCTTAGCTGATTATTTCAAAATGTATAATTTTGAAATACTAAGCTAAGCACTAAAAATGTAAAAGGATTCTTGTTTTGAAAGGGTTTTGCCAGCTAATGGTCAAGAGTCTATTATTCTCACTTGCCAGGGAAGGTTTTGTTCTTCAGTACAGCCAAAATTCTTCCATTACTCATAAAAGTGCCTTGTAGAATGTGTAAGACATCTTTTCTGGGTGGGCAAGACTTCTATCTTGCTCACTCAGAAAAGATGTCTTGCACCTTGGTTAAGAACCACTGTATTTAGAAAGTCATTACAGAATTAAAAAGTGTTGTTTGTCTAGTATCCAATTACAGATTTATGATTTGTTTATTCTATTTCTTTGTATGATGACAACAGTTTGCCCAATGCAAAATCTAACTACTTGTGTGCAGTAAACAACACACAAATAAGCTTATGGAAGGAATAATTGGACTAATAGCTTTTGTTGACACATCAAATCAATTTCTATAATGCACTCATAAACTGCCAAGTTTTATAAACAATTAAAACCTATTTCCCTTTTCACAAGCTAAATTGTCTAAAAAACATCTTTAAAACCAAGAAATCCAAAATTTTATCAAAACCCCTATATTTCTGTAAAATAAGTAATTGACATATTCCCACTTGAAAAATTTTTCTAAAACAATACAATAATTATCTACAAATAATTATAACAGTTCTTGCAGATATTAATATACATAATACAATTTATAAGAAATCTTTAGAATTACTGAATCCACAAAAATTAGAGAATAATTTATTATTTCAAAGATTATTATTTTCTTTATGCTAGTGCAAATGAATGCTTCATTTTCTGTTACAGATGATGAGCTTCTGTATGCTCAAATGTTGTGGCATTTTATTATATTAAAACTTTGAATAGAACTAATTATAAATATAAATAACTTTTTTCATTTTTTTAAACAAAATGTAATTGGTAATTTTATGAAAAATTCCCCATTTAAAATAATTACCTTTAATATATTTAAGGTATATATTAATGAATATAGTACTACTATTAATTTTACTGATATTCTATTTTTGAATTAAATATTTAAATTTTACATTACTGATATTATTTAAGTACAAATATGTATTTAAATACATTATTTAAATAATTAAAAACAAAATTACTTCAGTTGCTGGAGTATCCCTAGTGTGGAAGGCTGTAGACCATATCCATGCATTTATAGATAGCTGAAATTGAAAATAATATTCATTCTTAATTATAACAAAATTTGAATTTTGTTAAAGTAATTAAAAGAATTAAAATTTCACATTCAACTTTAATACTTTTCAAATGTTTTTATTTTTAACACTTCAAAGCATGATAGTAAAGCAATATTCTGGACTAAAGTTTACATCTCTCTGGAAATGTTTTCTATATTAAATCATGTCAATTTTATTTTAAACTAGCTGTTACCAGCGGCTTTGCCCGCGCAGATTTTGCAAGCAAACCCCATTTATATTCAGTATTTCAACAACCATAGTAATTGTTATATAACACCCACCACTGAGAATGATGAAAATTGCCAAGAATCAAACAAACTATTTTCAATTTGATCAATTTTCTGGAACGTTTACAATCGTTCTATAATTGAACCAATATGCAATAACAAATTCGAATTTAAAACGGTCCAAACATTTTTAAAATCGAAATACATAAAAATATTTATAACAATGTCTGAAATGTTATTAATTTAATACATCTAAGTACTCGATGAAGACTAAATCCTCTCCCTCTCGCGGGGGAATTTTGAAAAATCCCTTCTTAGTGTGCATTCTCATGGCATACCCTACTAAAACGCAGATAAAAACAAAAAATCGCATCTAAAATAGTACAGTAGAAGCTGTTGTTCCGGTTAAGCCTTAATGCTCTCCCTCTCCCCCCGCAGGGGGAATTTCAAAAAATCCCTTCTAAGTGTGCATTCCCTTGGCATACCCTACTAAAATGCAGATAAAAACAAAAAAAATCGCATCTAAAATAGTACAGTAGAAGCTGTTTTCTTGGTTAAACCTTAATCCTCCCCCTCTCCCCCCTGGGGGGAATTTTGAAAAATCCCTTCTTAGTGTGCGTTTTCATGACGTACCCTAACTGTGTACCAAATTTCACCACTTTAGATTCAGCGGTTTGCTCTGGGCGATGATGAATCAGTCAGTGACTCAGTCAGGACATGTAATTTTATATATTTAAATTTACTTATTATTTAAAAATAATTTTTGCAATTTATAAGTTTTTAACACATATATAGAGACTATTTAAGATACTCACTATTGCTTGAATATTCCATATCACATAATTAGGAGAAGATATTGGAACAGCCTGTGTAAACTTTTGCCACATGTAATAATGACTATATCCATTTAAAACTGAAAATAATGCTGAAGCTGGTTCCTGAATGCCCAAAATCCTAATAAAGGGCCACTAGCATAAAAAAAAATGTTTAAATATGTTAAAAGTAAATAAAAATCAATCTTGTAATTATCATCTAAATTAATAATTTTTGAAATTATATATATGTAGTAAACATGTTATATATGTGATTACTAATAAAATGTCAACAAATATGATGTTAAAATAAGCTCATCAGAATATTTGATATTATGGTTTAATTTAATAAAAAATATTTGCTATTTTTTATGTCATTAAATTTGAGATAGATACTTCAATAGTTTTTATTTTTTTGTGATGGTGTGATGTAATAAAATGAAAATGTCTCATCAGTTATCATTATATTAAATCTCTTATTTGTGACTGACAAGTGTATACACACTAAATTTATAAGTTTATTTTCTGTAGAATAATAATTAAAGTAAATAACTGTTCATTTTTGTAGAATCCAAAACATTTTTATTATAAAAGATGTAAACTAAAGATAAAATTGCCTAGAAGAGACTCAGTGAAATTATTTGCAATTGAAATTATATTGAAACCAAAAACAGAATCAATGAAAATTTTCTTTATAATTCCATTTTTCTTCATTAATTTTCCAAAAGTTTTATATTTTTCTTTATGACAATTCAAAATTAAATGATCAGAAATCATTGTTGTTGTTGTCAAATTACAATAAATTTGAAGAATCAAGAGGTGCAACAAATATAAACTTTCTGATCTAGTTTAGCCTATTAACAACATGAAATTTAAAATAATTCAAGCATTAAGACTTGTAAATACATTATAAATATATTAATTTCCAAACATTGTGAACTAAGCAAGTAATTTTAAATTGCTATTTAAATACATTTTGCCACCCTAAATTCTGTAAAATTTAAACATATTTAAATTTCATAGAATTTAGAGTGGAAAAGTGATGCTTATGGGTCTTAGAAGAAATAATGCCCTACTAAATGTAGATAAGCCATAAGTAATGCAATTGCCTTATCATCATCAATCAATCAATCAATCACTGATTCGAGCAGCAATTCCATTATGTGTGTTGATATCATAATGTTGAGAATTTATTCAAGCCTTACTAACCAGTGTGATGACTTGTGGAGAAGTATTTTCAGTTTCTTTAAAAAGCTATTCTTAAGGTTCTTACAAATTTGAGCATATATGGCATGAATAAGCCCAAATATGCAGATAAGGATGTCTTCTTAACACATGCATAAATGTACTTGCTACTTCACTTATCTTAATATAAGCCATTAAATTGCTGATGATTGCATAATACCTTCAGTATTATGATAGACATTGAATGTTTCAATATTTTGAAAAGATACTGCAAACTCATGTAGGAGCAAAGAGATGAAGTCATGTCAGAAGTGAGAGTACATAATATTAAGGCTTTTTTAACTCAAAAAATGTACACTCCATAACTAATATCTGGCGTGAAAAATTCAAACATAGGTTGGCAAATGCTTTCAATGCCCCTCCTAAGCTCTTCTTCAGGCCAAATTTGCTGTAACTGGATTCTTATAATCAAATGTTTTTAAATCAGAATGTGCTCCACTTCTAGATGTTCAAATATGGAAGGCAACCTCGTGCCGTTCAAAAAAAATAATAATAATAATTTTTACTAGAGGGGATACGATGTGCGATATAATATAATAATGACGTTTATAATATAACAAATTATGATTTGTCATCCAATAAATATTGCCAAGCTGTTGAGAGATTCATTTCTTTTTAAAATTGATGCAGGTTAATTTTCAATCTGCTTTGAATATCTCCATCGCTTCCAAAGTTCTTAGGTGTTCTGGATGACAGGTGGTGTGGATAACTTGTGCCTCGTTAAAACTCGGGATTATGTCTGGGTTTGTCGCTTATGTAGATAATGCCATCATACATTTGTTGTGGGTGATATCTGATTTATGTTCTTTTACCCTAGTGGCTAATGGATGTTTGGTGGATCCTATGTAAATCAATCACCTCTGCCATCTGTCATCTATTAACGGAATGGTATATATTCCCGGAAGCCTGTTTGGATTATGGGCGTCTTTTCCGTTTCTCAATAAATTGTATATGGAAGGGTTTCTTCTGTATGTAATTCTAATTCCTCTTTTCTTTGCAATCTCATTAAATATTGTTTTTAGTTGTGGGTTGTACGTTACCGGGATCCTATCCATATGTTCTTCATTATCAACTCTTCCTGGTGCTTTTTCTTCATCTGTCATATTGTTTATATGAAGGCATTCATTGCATAATTTGTTTATTATGCTGCCATAACCATGATCTTTAGCGACCTTTCTAATATAAGATAATTCTTGTTGTAGATCGTTAGTTGTGGAAGAGTGAGTATAGGCCCTTTCTACCAAAGCTCTGAATGCTGCTATTTTGTAAGAGTATGGGTCACAGGAATTGAAGGGTATGTACTGTACAATGGTATAGTGGTGGGTTTTCTAGTTTATTATTGTATTAGTATAGTTTGTATTGTCCCTTTCTTAATTTCTACTTCTATATCCAAGAAGTGGATTTTTTCTTCACTGTGCTGCTCCAATTCCAAATATAGGCCATAAGGGTTGTTGTTCATGGCTTCTCTTAAATTGCCTTAGGTCTGGTGGTGTTTTCCAGAGGATTATATCATCATCAATATATCTTCCATATAGAATTATGTTTGGGAGAAAGAGTGGCAGGGTTTTGGTTTTGACTGCCCTAATTATCCCAACTAGTAAAAAAAAATTTTTTTTTTGAAACGGCACAAGATTGCCTTCCATATTTGAACATATAGAAGTGGAACACATTCTGATTTTTAAAAATTTGATTATAAGAATCCAGCTACAGCAAATTTGCCTGAAGAAGAGCCCAGGAAGGGCATCAATAGTGTTAGCCAACGTATATTTGAATTTTTCATGCCGGATACTGGTTACGGAGTGTACACTTTTTGTCTTATATGACCCGGTGTGGGGGAAACTTTTGCTTTACTTTTTTAACTATAACACTTTCTCAAAATTGTTGTGCTTTGCTTTTTTAGGTCTTATTTTATTAATTCAAACCTTTAGATGACATTCTGACAAATTTTTAAATTGACCCATGCTTCCCTTAAGCTGCAGGGGATATAACAAATTTGTATCACTATGTCTCTTTTTAGATCTGTAAAGCTGAGTTATCTACCAGCATCTACATTTTTTCCCTCCTTCTTTGTGAATTAAAATCACTAGAAAAGCAGTAGCAATAGCTATAGTCATTGCTTCTGACATTTTCACCAAAACACTCACAAATGAATATGGAGCAAAATGAACACATGCACTGTACAGTGTCAATAAAAATGTATTCACAAAAAGAACATATAAATTTAGAGCACACTTAACTATTAGAGATATTTAGAGCATGTTTATGTCATATGTGCTCAAGTCCATATTAAAGCGACCAGACATCTTAGATTAATTGCACAGTCCTGGTTTTTGACAGTGTTCCAGCTTGGAAAAATGCCCATTTTTGTCCCGTTTTAAATAATATTTCTCAGATTATTCAGTTTTATTTATAAGTATATAGTTTATATTAAAAAATGTTTTTAAAATTTAAAAGATTTTATTTTAAAAAATTGCTTTGAAGAATTCTCCTTTAACATTTACTATACAGGCATCACTTGCTTAATGCATGAAATTAATTGCAACAGTCCCTTTATATATGCAGCAGAAGTTTTAATTAATGTGGCTTTAACAGCTGTCTTTACTTAACATAGATATAGTATTTGATTAACACAATTTTGATATGCATGGTAGCATCAAGGGATTAATTAACCACATTAATCAAGAGATGCTTGTATATAGAATTAACACAATGTTACTTACATAGAGATGTAGCTAAGCATAGTGCTGTTACCTAAATCCTACACTAAGAACTAACTGTCCTGATTCCAGATCAATAAGGTTATATTGGTTGACCTAGAATTAAGACTTATTACACTAATAAGTATGAACACTTTTGACATGTAATTTTGACATTAAATATAATGCTATAGAATTATTTTCATAATATAAATAAAATTATATATTGCAAACTCATCCATGGACATGTTTGTGATATCTCACCCAAATTTTAAAAATTATAACTCTGCCTAAACTAATTTATTAAAAAAAATTTTCTTTTTATTAATTTTTGTTTACCTTTGTGAATTTATATATTATTTTAAAGGCCAATGAAATAAGCAAAAATAAATTAAATTTTGCTTATATTAAATTTTCATTCAAAAAAAGAACACTACAAGAGGTGGCACTGCCAAAAAGAAAATGTTCTGCAATATTAGTTATTGATATAGACAACATTATTAAGCAACAAAATCATTCAAAACCACCTCACACCCTATATTTCCTACCTTTAATTTTTAGTTTGTCCCAAGATGAAGTTCAGAAAATCTGGTCACTTTAGTCTGTATGCACTTTTAGATTCTTACACATCAATCTGTACTAGAGTTCAAAATTTCAAAACCTTTTAAAAGTTCTATTCGCAACTCACACCTAAATTCAAAATTTCCAGCAAATAAACATCAAAAAATAACAAGTTCTAAAAATAAAAGTTCTAACAGAATGATTTGGTTAAAATTTTAAAATGATGTTAGCTAAAGAGTGCATGAAAATTTATCCATTCCTCTATTGGATTCTTCCTATAGTATTTCTCAATTGTCTTTAACATCACTTTTATTTTCAAAACCAAAACATCCAATAAATAACAATGTCTTAATAATAATGAAGGTTTGATCGTAATTTTTTGAAATGTTAAATCAATATACAGAAACTTTAATAATATCAATTATTCTTTCTACATTGATTATAATTGATTTTCTAAAAATTTTAAATATATAGTATTTCTCAGAATAAGAATGCTTAATCTTAAATATGTATCACTCTGCTACTATAACCAAGCAATAAAGTTATATACAAAATTAAATAAAATAGAACAGAATAAAAATTTTTAAAATTCAAACAAATCATCAAATGATGTATTAAAAAAAATCACACTGACATTTTTGCAACAAATCTGAGATTTCAAAAAGATTATAGCAGTTTAAACATATCTAATATTTTATATTTTTCTAGGTTAAAAAGCAGATAATAGTAAACTCATTTTGTGATAAATTCAGTTCTTATTCAAAATCAGTGCAAGTCATTATTAGATACTGAAATTAGACTGGAAAAAAAAAACTGAAATAAATAAATCAGCTAATGATAGAGATTCTCCATTATTACTTAATATAAAGAATTTACTTTTGTCAATAAATTTATACCCAGCTTCAAATTTGTTATAGAAATGCTATAGCTAAAAATTTCTAGAAACCTGTCTGATGGAATAAAAGCTACCATTCTGAATCTTCCACAGCTGGTATAGTTTAAAAGTTTTAGTGAAAAAAATAAAATAAAAGCTATCACACACTCAAATAAATTTTATATGTGTATTATTATGTTCTGTGTGTTCTCAAATAAATCCCCACAGAATTTATTGGAGAGTATGGTAGCTTAACTTTGAGAGCATTAAATCTGGTGTGTGGATTTATTCAAACTTGTGGAGCTATTCAAATCTTTAGCTCATTTTTTAAAATTAGTTTTTATATGTGTTGATGCGAATGGTTAGAGGGGTCATTAAATGAAAACAAAATAATTTTTGAAAAGTAACACAGACAAGAAATGCAATGCAATAATTTTCAAAATTACAATTTTGAATACATTTTTTACAATAATCCATGCTTAGAAAATGTAATTTGAATGAACCCACATATGGGTTTATTTTTTTAAATGCAACTAATATACAAGTTTATTTGAGTCTGTAAGATAATTTAAATATGTGAGTCTAATCAAATGCAGAAATAATTATCTAGTAAATTTATGGAATAGTGTACTAAAGCTTCTATTGATATTAGACTGGTCTCATTTATACAAATTATTTTTTAATTTTTCTACAAATTTTGCCTCAATTCTTTTATTTTATAAATAAAGTATTTATTTTATCCAAAACGCACACTAAACTTTCCAATTACAGCAGATCAAAATTTCAAATTAAAATATTCTTGGCTCCAAACTGAAAGGTTTAGTGTGAGTTTTGATTTATCATTCCAGTTTACTTTTTGGACTTTTTTATTGTGGTCTCAAAATAATTCACACATTTAAAAACTAGTTTAAATGGAGAAAATTAACATACTTATTAATTAAAGAGCAACATATTGCAACATGTTGCTTTGCATATCACATATTGACATTGTGCCATGCTATGTTGGACTGCAAGATACCATGTTGCTTATGGACCAACACAGTCTAATTGTTGAATTATAAATTTAAATAAGAAATTTAAAATGTGCAAAAGTTCAAACTTAAATTAATAAGTACTGAAAATAATATTGCAGTCCTAAGTACTTTTGAGCTTCTGAGATTCATAACCAGGGGTAAAATACAATTAAAATGAAAAGAACTTCTACTTTCAAACATCAAACAATACAAAATTTCATTGATTCAAAATTCCATTGAGAAATTCAAATTTGTAATTTCAAATGGTTTTAAATCAATGAAAATTTTAAAATTTTTGATGCTTGAAAGGACAGATATGTGTCTTTTTGATTAAATGTATTAACATGTTTTTTTAATATTTTTAAATGTTAATATTTTTACATTTCTATGATTTGTTTTACATTGTTGTTGATGTTTTTTTGCTTGCTATCAGCACATTTTAAACTTGTCTGAAACTGACAATGCTGTTAAGCAATACAAAGGAGAACTGAATGGCCAAGAGTTAAGACATCAGCCACTACTCTGGGAACCAGGAACAGATTCAGTTGAATCAAAACTACATGTAGAAATTTTTCAAGAACTGACCTGTCCCAGAAAAAAGCAATACAAAAAAACCAATATTACATTTTGAGAATTTTATGTTTTTCTAGAATGTATTGTTTAAAATTAAGACAAGTACTAAACATACATTAAACTCTAACACAGTAAGTATAAATTATTTCACAAATTTCAAGAATCTCTAATGATTTCAAACATTCTGAATTTAAGTATCAAATCAATCGTTTTTTAATTTATAAGAACACCATAAATCTGAATTTAACTAAACTATATTCCAGGCTTAAACATCATTTTTTAAGTCAAAGTTCATGGTTTTCATTATTCTATTTTTGACAGTCCATTTTAATATGATATTCCTAAAATAAGTAAATTTAATTTCAAAAACTTAAGACTTTTAAAAAAAAATTAAATATCAAAACTTAAATAATAAATAATAATAATAACCTAGTTTAACAAATGAACATGTATAAAAAAGTGTTTATCACATTAAACTTAAAAAAAAATTCATGATGAATAAACAATTAGAAAATAAATTCAGCCAACTCTCCTAAAATAAATTGTTATTATACGAAAGATCAATTATCAATTTCAAACTGCTTTCTTCAAGTTTTATAACCAAAAAAAGACAAACTGCCAAAAGCATTTCCTCATACAACAAAAATTAATCTCGAGATGTATTGAATTTTTTTGAATTTGCTTTCAGCGAAGAAATATAATGAAACAAGACACATAGGTTTTCAGGAAGTACGAAGTATTCCTTAGTCACTCTCTTGTTTTAAAACAAAATTTAACATTTTAGAAATAAAAGCAAATAATTAAAATAAAATTTTCAGAAAACAAATCATTTATATCGGTCAAAAGTTTACGTGACAATTTATTTAATAGAAAAAGTCAATGGCAATAACGCCCACCACCAATTTATCAAAAATTACTTTAAAAAAAAAAAAAAAAATTTGCTAGACAATCCATCTTATTCGGGGGCAACGACTCCGAACACACGTCACGGTCATCAAAACACTACGTCTCGTTCTTCGTGTACTCATTTGCATTTCAAAAGACATGCGATGCCCACAAGATCCAGATTCGACACCCGGATTCGGCGGTAGCATCCGATTACAAATATTCCAAGCATTACTTTTAATTTTCATACAACATACACACACATACACCTTCAGAATAAATGATAAATTTACATAACGTTAAAAATTACCTTTCCATGAAACTGAGGAATGGGCTGTTTTCTTTTCCTAAAATCATATACAGCATCCCACATGCACTGATACTCGCATTCGTCGTCGCACTTCCATCCAAGAACCGTCAGATGCCAGGACTGGTGTGTGGCAAAATGAGCAATGTTGTCGGCATCCGAGCAGTTTTCCGCCGTGCACCATTTCAAACAACTTTGATAAATATCGGAGCGATCACCCGAAGACGCCTTTACAATTCCAACCAAACTAAAACTTACGGCCAGCGCATACAAAATCGAAAAACAACAGAATACGTATCTAAACATTAAATTATAAAACTACAACCAAATGGAAATGGCGCAAAACAAAACAAAAAATATAAAAGAAAACGACTCAAAACATAATTATCCGACACCCACTATCTGATTGCGAAAAGCATCGAATTTCTGATAGCGTAGTTTCGAAATTCCGACTGATAATGACTTCAACATTTGGTGAGCAAAAAGTCAAAACGTGATTTTGCACTTTCTTTTTGATCTTTATTCTCTTATCACAGCTTCGTAACGAGACTATAGATATGTTAACCGTTTTTCTAAATTATTGCCTAGAGTCAAATAGGAAGTTTTGATTTGTTTTCCGACCATTTATACGATTGCACCAGTACCGTTTAGTCGGTTTACGAGGAAGATAAACAACGAAGGAAGATAACTGGCGTGTACTTTAACCATATCGAACTACAATCGATATTCCGAACCGACGTCTCTGTCTTAAGCGAACAATTATCGAGCATTATTTAGAATATTCGACTAAAATTTTAGCCTTACATAAAAGTATCCTAAGTACACTTCGCACCGTTTCGTCTCCGAATGCCCCTCCCCCTTCTCCGTCCGAACCTAACCAGTTACATTTATTAGTCGATGGACGTATCGATTTTCCAATGTTAATGTTTTATTCATACTTTTTAAAAATTTATTTAATTCGAAAACAAATATATCATTTGTAAGAAGTTATTTCTTTCACTTTTTTTATTTTCGATAAACATATATGACAGCGCCGGTTCGGAACGAGTGTAACAGGCTAACATATTGCCAATGTCCGGATATGTCGGGACCCGTCCCTCACCACCCGGCCGACCCATTGTGGGCCTGTCCGAACCCATAACGGGCCTGCTAAAAAGAGGCCCTCTTAGTGCCCACAGGGCTGAAAGAGTTAAAAAAAAAAAAAGAAGAAGAAGCCTGGAAGCTCATGCCCAACCAGCCGATACAAGACAGACAAAATTTTGATTTTGTAATGTACATTGTTTGCAAGTTAGTTCACAAAAATCGACGAGTTTCTTCGTTAATTTTTAACAATTTCTTCCTGCAAGGTTTTCTTCGTGGTCTTCTGTTGTATATCCTTTAGTTAAAAATTTTCAGAACGGAACTTTTAAAATTACATTTCGTTTACTTGCATCCAATATATTTATTTTTATTGATTATATACATGTTTATTTAAAAGTAAACAGAAATTAAAAAAAGATCTCAATTATTTATTTCTTATGAAGTAAATTGAATAAAATGTGCACAGAAAATAAAAATGAATTCGAAAATAGAAATGAAATGAATGAAATGAACATAAAGATGATTACAAGATGTGAATACAAAAACAATAAACTCTGATTTCTCCTCCATAACACTGCGTCAAACCATGACGCGGTGACATCAAATGTGCCGCAATCCAAGTATTTATAGCCTACTAGTGTCCAAGTAAATAAAAATCACTGAATACTGGTAGTTGGTCGCGAATTCAAGCTTGACCTACGAACTGCCATGACTCGAGCCATGGAGTCATGCTTGATCTACGAACTCGAGTCATGGAGTCATGAAGAAAGTGGGCAGGCTTTCTATGGGAAACTGGACCACTTACAATAGTCCAGTTTCCCATTGAAAGTTCTTTGGAGTGCATCCTTCCTTGGCAGTCACACGCGTATTGATAGGAAGTTTATTGGTCTTGCTCCAGTCATAGATTTTTCGTAGGGCTTCGTTTGCCTTTCGTTGTAACTCACCACTATTCCGGTGCTTAAGAAGAAGGAGGGTGTTATCAGCAACTAGCAACTACTGAAACAATTGCCATGGGCTTTCATGTCTTCTTTCACACTTTCCTATTTCCCTTCATTTCATACTTGGTCTCTCATTCCTTTCTTCATCTTTCCATTTCTTATAGGGCTAAGTCTGCCGCTAAGTGACAGATAGTTCTTGTACTCTAAGTAAAGTAAAGTCACACGCGTATTGCATTGACGTATCCCATCAAAGAATAAGAAACTAGTATTATACTAGGATTTAGGATCCGCTACTGTGTACTGAAAAACATTTATCCCCTTATTTTTTTGTACCAGGATTTTTCTTTTTCAATTTCTTTCTTCGTAAGAATATAAAAATATCATCGAATCTATAAGATGTATGAAATCCCGACTGCAAATGTATACTATCTAAAGCTGTGGCTCTTTGGTCAAATCTAGCCCCGAACATATTTCATACTTTACTTATAAATGATAGAAACAGGACTACTTTTTGTTTTTAGAATGTAAAAGCCGAAGTATCTGTTGTAACAGTCACAGATTAACTTTTAAATGACAAGAATCTCATAGTTTAACTACAATAACTCGGTGCTCGGTTTTCTTTGCATACTTTTTATCAGTGGTGCCAAAAACTTTTCGATTGGTGGGCCCAGGGGCGCCGCTAGCTGTTTGAACGCCCGTGTGCAATATCGATTATACCGCCCCTGTTTAACTACGACTACCTGCGCTGAGCTTGCCAGAAAGGCTCTTTAGTGTTGTCTCATAAAGGTGTGAAAAAAGAAAAGAAATACTTTACAAAAAGAACTATTTATTATTACTAAGTTATTTTTATTTACTTAAGTGTAAAACCATATAAATATTTATCTACAGAAATTGAACTCTTCTTGCCTTCATGTTTGCGAAATCTGCTATCAATTTTCTTGTATCCAAGCTGTCTAAGATTTCATGTTCAATTGAAACTATAGCTATAAACTAAATTACTTAGTCTTTGCTGGTGCATTGTTGATCTTAAATTAATTAATTAATTAAATAGTTTTTTATAATTTTTAACTTTGAAAAGGACCTTTCACCAAATGCAACTGAAACCGGCAATGTAAGTAATATTCTTAGTGCTATTGCTGTGTTTGGAACTGTTGAAATTAAGTCATTAGTAAAAAGATATTGTAATGGGGTTTGTGGATCATTAGACTGGTTTTCTGGAAAATGCAACTTTAAAGTATTGATTTCATTAAACAAATCAATACTGTCAATGTCTGTTTCACTACTTGAATCGTCTTTAAGCTTCAGATTTAAATCCTAACCAAGTTAAAATATCATTAATTATACTTCGACCCATGTCAGAAGAATTATTAACAAAATAATTGCAATTTGATATGCAATAGAACTGTTCGAATGCGTACAAGTACAAATTGAGAAGGAAGCTCTGTAGGGATTCCCTATTTTCGCCAAACCTGTCAACTTCTGTCATACAGCACGACTATTGGTACTTGGCTTTCGGGTGCCCGCCAGATGGTTCAACCTGCCGACAGACGTTTCGCATTGCATCTTAATTCTGATAAATGCCAATAGAGGCGCTGTTAACGCTATAATATAAATAAGAATATAGTAATTGCGCGCCCGTCGGATTTTTTTCTCCATGCGAAGACATTTCTTATGCTATAAGTAGGGTGGGTATTATGACAGTGACTAATTATTACGTGACCGATCGCTCGATTTGCCGCCCCCTGGACGTGCCGCCCGCGTGCGGTGCACGCCTTGCACGCCCGCTTACGGCGGGCCTGGGTGGGCCAAATTAAAGTCCAAGGTCTATCTTGGTGGTGTTCCCAATTTGATGACTTGAAGGACAACATTTCTCGAACTGTGATGAACATTCCTGCGGACATGCTACGTTTGGCCGTAGAGAACACGGTGTTCAGGATGCAATGTGTTGTCCAGCAGGACGGTAGTCACATTGAAGGAGGGAGAAGGTTATTTGCTGATTAATTAAACTTTCATTATTGCACTGAAACCGCTGTCTGATTATTCATTCGTGTGTTTGTTAATTGCAGCTGGGTTTTATGCAAACTCTTAGCTGTTTCGCTACAACAGCGCGAAATCCACCCCTACTGGCGAATTTAGGTACTACTTTTTTTCCTTCGCGGAATCTCTTTCCTATGCCGTCCTTAGTCACTATCCCAAACTTGGCGACAACCGGCTATTAGATTCCTCTACAGATGCCTCTGAGTACCGTCAGTTTAAAAAAAAAAACACCCTGTATATGGGGGATTCGTTTGTATCAGATTACGAGGGAAGGTAGCGTGAATCTTTGATGACGTAAGATTGCATCTGTTTATTATGATTGGAAGAAAATATTGTTTGAAAATAATTTGTATGTATTATGAATGGTTTACACTTCTGGCCTGTTGACATAATTAGGAGAGGGGTACCTTGGTGGTGGTGATGGAGAGAGGGATCAAAGCGGCAAATTTTTTCTGATGCAATAGTTGAATGGCTTGATATACAAATTTAAAAGGAAAATGGTAGGATGAATTTTTCAAAAGGTGGTGACTGGACTCTATACACTGGGAAGTTTGGTCGTGGGTTCGCGCCGCAATCGGACAGGCTGGCTGCTTGGAGTTTTCCGGGTTTTCTCCTTGCCAATAACGACTAAATAGGAGGCCAGTTCCCCATAAAAGTCCTCACGGAAGGCATCCTTTCCCCGCGCGCACGATTAGGCTGTTCGGATACGGCTGGCTCGTCGGTCGCATAGCGATCAATAACGTCAATCGGAGAAAGAGCCTAAATAAAGCTATACTCTCCGTATCAACATAGAAGAAGAAAGAAGAAAGAATTTTTCAAAAATTGTTACAATGGTTGTCCCCTTTACGTAAAGGTATAAAATTGTTTTAGTGTGTTTTACAGTATGTGACCTTTTCGTTTTGAAATTGTTTCAGGGTAAACATGTTGGAAAATTATTTATTAGAAACCTAAGTAATGACTTCTCGTTCAACTTGGATATCTTTACAACCAGAAAAGTCCTGCATTCCATGTGCAACAAAAGAATGCTTTTGTCAACTAGGAATTTTGCCGCTAACGTTACATAGTCCTTGGTCTCAAAGCCAATATCAACGTTCCTGCAAAGTAGGTTGGCCCACCAGTGGCCAAGCGGTTTCGTTCCCTGAACACTGGATAAACACTGGGAGTTCGTCGTGGGTTCACTCCTCGCCAGGAAAGGCTGGCCACGTGGAGTTTTCCGGGTTTTCTCCACGTCTGTAACGCCTAAATAGGGGCTAGTTTCCCTTAAAAAGAACTCCCAGAAAGTATCCCCCTAGGCCAGGGGTCGGCAACCTTTTAAGTCGGAAGAGCCAAAAATTACAATTTACAAAATTTCAAAGTTTTTAAAGAGCCACAAAATTTTTTTCTTGCCAACAATAAATAGTACTCACATAAATAAAGTTTTTTGATTAAAAAAAATTAATTTATTTATTCAGAATTGTCTTGCGTCGAAAGCGAATTAAATCTCATAGAAACATCCGACGACGGCGTCATTCGAGAGCTTCCGATGGACTGACGACAGTGACGACGCGTGTCACGGGGGAGGGGTGCGATGAAAAGCGAGTACAAGTGGCTGAGAGAT